CAGAACTAGTTCTGGAAGTTCTGATCTTAGTCTAATTAAAGATTTATAGACATTAAGCTACAGAAATGCTGAAGGAAAGTGTCCAATTAAACCCATTCTGCATCACTTCCAGTAAATGTAAAAGTTTCCATTTATTGTTTTTTTAAGCTGCAGACAGTTAGAAGATGGTCCATTAAGCTGTTCTGTTTTTTGTTAGAGTCCTGGGTTTACCCTCTGACCGATTCATCCTACGACAGTTTGGAGAACGAGCTGGACGACAGCAGCGGGGGCTCACCGGGTTTCTGCAGCAGAAGACCCCTTCGATCCAAACCCCTGCAGAGCAGCCTGGACTCCATCCTAACGTTCAGCGACTACGACCAAGACACCGACCCAGAGGTGCCGCTTAGCAAGGCTGAGGGCCTGCTGGGTGTCCGGCTGCGCTCCGCAGAGAGGCGCAGGAGGCAGGAGGCCCCAGCTGTGGAGATCCCCCCCTCCCTGGACTCTCTGTCCCTGGAAGCTCGGCATTCGCAGAGGCGGAGCTCAGAGCCTGCTATAGCGTACGCCGCAAAGTTCTGTCCGTACATGTCGGGCAGTACGGACGGGCTGAGCTGTGAGGAGGAGGAAGAACAATCGGAAAGGCGGAGCAGCAACATGTCCAGATGTCAGAAAGCGAACAGCGGAGGCGCTCTGGGGGCCAGCTCATCCAGTTTGTCCTCTCTAGGGTCTCCAGCTCCAGTTCGCTCCTCCCTGGACTCTCTGGACTCCCTCAGCACAAACCAGACCAAACCAACGCCTCAACCGTCCGGCTCTGCTCCGACCCCGAGCGTTCACTCTAAAGACCAAACACCCAAAGAAGCTCACCACCGGGGGGCGCTGATAGGCTGCATGGGCCTGCACCCAAACTCATGGCTGAAAAAGGATCGAAGGCTGTCCCTAACTCACCAAGAGAGCTTGGAGAAGGACGACGAGGACAGGATGGGGGTGAGTAGGAAGCTAACTCCTCTTCATTTATAAAAAGTTTAATTACTGATTACAAATCTATGAGGTATAAATCTGTTTATGACACTTTAAAATATAGGAAAGACAAGAGAACATGCCATTCAAGTCAGCCTGATGTTTACAGATGTTAATAATTAATGAAGCTGCTTTAAGTCATCTAAAATGATCTAGAGATTTAAAAAAGAAAAATGGTGGAAAGCTGGATTCAGTATCCCCGTGTAAAGGACGGCTTTGAAGCTTCTGAGGGGAAGCTTGTGGTTTTTGCGATGCGAAAGGCACCTTACCGCAAAGCAAAGTAGTTCAAACATTTTTGTATATTAATGTTGAAAAACCCAATCAGGGATTAAATATAAGTTTGAAGTGAATCGAAACAAGCTAATTAAAAAAATCAAATTCTAAGTTAGAGAAAAGAAACTAAACTAGGGCTGCAACTAACGTTTATATTTGCAAATCGATTAATCTGTTGATTATTTTTTCGTTTTAATAATCGGATAGGCAAAGATTCATTAAAGAAAATATTTTAAGAAATCAAACCAAGTGAAACTAAAACTTTTCCACTTGAGTTCTGGATAGAGAATGTTGACAGACTGAAATCTTTTACAATTCCTGCTCTGTCAGCTAAAGGCATGCTATAAAGTCTCTATATTCAGTTAACGATTAATTGATCACTAAATTAGTGGACGATTATTTAAACAATCGATTAATCTGATTGTTTCAGCCCAAACCAAACTAATCCTACAAATCGCTTTAGTGCGTGCAGTACTTTATTTTCTCGATCTTTAATTTTGATTAAAAAAAGCTCGTCTCTGCTGTGTTTCTTCACCCTATGCCACATCTAGTTCCGGATTGGGTTTGGCAATGCAAATGTGCAAAAATCAGATTTTTCCATCTGTGTGAATTTCTCTTTATGTACTTCAGAGAAGCGGCTAGGCTCTCTCTTCACTGTATTCACTCAGCTAGAATCGCGACCTTCTCCCTATCTAGGGAAAACATGTAAATCGTTAGCTCGGGGCGTGAAAATCAGCCTTGGTATCAACGCGTCTTAAAGGTGCAGTAGGAGATGTTTTCTGACGCATTTTTTTTACCAAGATCTCCCGCTTAGCAAGCAGTAAAATAGAAGGTCTGGAAGTGAAACTAAAATAAATGGTCCCTGCTACAGTGAGAAATCATTAAATACCCCGACCAATCACAAAAGGCGGCCCTTGTCCCTCCCCCCCGTGCGTGTGCCCTGACATATGAACGAATCGACCCCCCATCTTGCAGGACGCCATGGCTGGAAGCTAGCCACTGTTATGCTACGTTCGCACCTAAAGCAGCAGGAGCAGCAAAAACGCGCTTGCTGCTTCATTTTTGATACTTGTACAAGTTTAGTTCTGACATCGTTGCTGCTCCAGCTGTACGGTGGAAAAAGTGGGTCTGATGCGTGTTAGGCGGTGTCCTTTCTTTGCCGGTAACAATGGAAGCCAATATGCTGTGATCAGTGGGTAAAAAGTAGTTTGAATCTAGTTTGAAGTGAGAAAGTCCACCTAAAAACATCGTCAGTGCAGTCAGTTCAGCAGCCTATGGCGCGGCCACCTCCTAGCGGTTTGCCGTGGCAACAGGAAGGCCTTTTTTATGTACGGAATCCAAACTGCAAGCACCAGGATAAAAGCTAACATGTTTTGCCGGCTAAGTAAATTTAGGCGTTAATAAACCGTTTAAAATAAAAAATCATAGCGTTCTGCATCATCAGCGCTGCTCTAGACGCGCTGCAGACAGCATGCATGTTCACATGTTTTGAAGGCGTTGTTTCGAGGGGTGGTCTGAAGGGAGAGGCATGGTTGTGTATGTTCAAAAATAGCTGGAACCGTTTTTCCAAGAATCTCCTACGGCACTTTTAAGGTTCAGCTTTTAGCAACAAAAGCTTCAATTTGTGAAAAAAAACAAAAAACCCTCATGCTAGGAGGGTCAGGATCAAACATCCAGTGGTCTATGATTTAGAAGCGTGGTTCATTCTTTGCCCGGCCGTCAGAGGGCAACACGGGTCGTTTCTCAATTCACAAGAACGTGAGCACAGTACGGACTCGTGTCGTCCCCAAGTATGTTCTTGAGAAGAACACAGGAAATGGAATGAATGGGACACGCAGAATTGGAAGAGCACAAGGGCTGAGGTTGATGACGTTTCAGGAGTACATGAGCACATAAGAACGTATGGCATGTTCTCGTCCATTTGGAGAATGCTGATGTCTGTGTATTTATACCTGAGGGACTACTTGAAGGGTTTTTACCAAACTCTACAGACTAGCGTTAGCGAGTTCATTTCCTCACAGTGTGGAACAGCTGAGAAAGGAGCAACGAAGCTGATCTCCAACAATCAGCCTAAAGCCAAAACATCCCGCAGAGGCTCAAAGGACGCAGGAGACAAAGGGAACAGCCGACCCTCCAGACCAGAAGCCTCCAGCCCCTCCCTGCTCCGGCGAGCTGCTGGGAGCCTTCGCTTCAACAAACCCACCAGGGTTCAGTCTCCAGATTCTGCCCTGACGGTTCAGATCAGCGACCTCGGAGGTGATGTCGTCACTAAGAGGTGCGAAGCGCCCGAAACGAAGCAGCAGCTGTTCTACAAACACAGCGGGCCGTCGCTGTCCCTGTTCAGACGACAGAGGACTCCCACCGTGGAGGACTGTAACAGCCGGCTGTACCGGCGCCGCGGCTCCGAACCGGAGCGGCTGGTCGCGGACCGGGCCTCCGCCTTCACCAGGGTCCGGCTGCCCAGCGACCCGGGACTGAAGCCGCCAGAGGCAGATCGGCAGGCCCGTCTCTGCCTCTCCCCCTGCACCACCAAAGCAGTGAGCGACTACTTCTCCTCCCACCCTCACAGCGATCCTCAGAGCAGCCAGGAGGTGGCGCTAGCCCTGGTGGAGGGTCAAAGAGAGCGGTTAAAGCGATGCTGTGATCCTACAGCGGAGCCTGATCTGGAGCAGCTTCTGTTTGCTGAAGAGTCGTACGTCTGACAGTAGGAAACGCTCCAAACACTCATCTCTCTATGCCCTTTAAGTTCAGTTATAGAAACCAAGAAGAATTTCTAAGATCGTTTTAATCTGCTTCTATAGAAAACTTCTCCTCTTGCAGGTTGCTTAGTGCCTTTAAGGAAAAGTTCATTTTCAGCTCCTATCAGAACCCCCCAAAATAACATTGTAATAACAGATGGTTTTATACGCAGCTGCCAACTTTACCTGCTGTTGCCTTTTTTCTTTTATTTAAATCAGAAACTCCAGCTGTTGTCATTGGACTGTATGGTGGCTGTAAAGTTCAAGCAGATCAGTACAGATCTAGGAACTCCTGCAATGTTTACTTAAGACTTAGATTTTATTTGTCATTTTGTTTACACAAGTGTAAAAAAAAAAAGAAATTTCGTTTGGAACAGCTCTCTGGACAATTTCATCTTTTTTTAAAAGTGCAAAATAGTAAAAATGACTGTAAATTTCTAATTTTTTTTTTTTGACTACATGAGTTATTGCTATAATAGTAGAAATACAATCTAATATAGCTCCACTTTAAAGTTTGCATTTATCCTTTTTTTGCCAACTTTGCATTTATTTTACCTAAGTGAAGTTGCCCCCCCCTCACCTTCTTCAAATGGATGTCAATTAACTCGACTCTGTGCTCGTTTGTGCAGCAAAAATCGATGTTTTTGCTGCTTTTGCCTTGAAGATATTAATGAAAGGTTAAAGGTCAACCAGTCCCCCCATTATTATGAAATCAGACAAAATTGGTGTCAATCACCTCGGCTATGTTTGTGCAGCAAAACTTTTAATTTGTGTTCCTATCATTGTAAAGATATAAAGAAAAATGTTCTCCAGGGGTCATCAGAGGTCAACCACCATCTTTAAAAGGATTTCTGCACAAATCAACTTTGTCTGATTCGAAGAAGGCGGGGCAACTTCGCTCAGGTGTTTATTTTCACCCGAGGCTGTGTTGCTTTGTATTTTAGCTTTAAACGAACTTCCTTACACTGTAAAACAAATAGAATATAGTTCAATTTAGCTTCTAAGGAGATTTTAAAGTGACTGATTCAGAGGCGATTCATTAGAAAGGTGATTTTTTTTTTATTTCTTTTTATACACCAGTGTGTTCCAGTCTTGTACAGACAAGACAAAATAGATCTGTTTAGGAATTAATTATTAAGGCGATACATTTATTTTTTTTTTACAGTGTTTGAAAATTAAGTCACATGTGCATGTTAACTTTTACCAAGTTTGTTATGATTGTTAAAATTAGGAGCCCAGATTATAAGGTTTAACTCATAAATACATTGGATTTGATACTAGATAGACAAATTGCTGGTTACAGTTTGCATTTCACTCTAGAAAATGTTTTATTAAAAAAAAAAAAAGAAACAAAAAACTGGACGACAGATCTGTGGCAGCCCACAGCACCACCACTTTCCTCCCACCATCGTGCATTCTTCAGTCGACGTTGCAGCGTCCCAGTTTAAGCCGAGCCGTCTTTGCTTTGCCGGATGTCTGCCACGCTCTCTGGGACTCGGGCCACCATGCCGTCCAGGGATTTGGTCAGGCAGATCTGGCAACCCAGACGAGATCTGCGGCGGATTAATAAGATCCAACAAACATGCTTAGTTTGGTTAACTTTTTACTTACTTATATTCAACTTAATCTGTTAAAGTGGTTTATTTATAGGATCTACAAACAACAAGTTAAACATTTTTTTGTAGGATGGTTTGGACCGTTTTAAACTTACTTTTGTACCTATTAAATATGGACTGGAGTTTCCTATAATAAATATCTATTTAATGAAGCACAGCCTTGGAACTTTTATTTTCCTTACAAAATACACCCAAAATGATTTTTTTCTTTAAATAGTTAAAAGAAAAAACTTTTTAAACCTCAAAGAAACCTTGTTTTAGGGTTTATATTATATATATATATGTATATATATATATAAAGCTCAATACAACAATGTATTACAATGTAATGGTTTTTAATCTAAATATTGTTTTTGCCTACAAAAAAACATATGTTGTTTAAATTTGGTATGTTTACGGTGCCAATATTGACACTAGTGATGTAAACAAATAATCCACTTATGATTAAAAGTCGATAAATGGTTAATTTCCAAGAGTGGAGGCTATGGAAAGCTGTTTCATTTAAAATTTAATAAATTCTGCTATTTATAAATATTTTAAATCATGAGTTATTTACCTTATAATGGAGTTGACACTTATTTTGTAAAGCTTCCGTACGTATTTCAGTGACTTGTTGATCTTTTTTTGTCTTATTTAAATGAGGGTGCGGGGTTTTATCTGCTGGTCTGACGTCAGTGATTCAAAGTAAAACGGGAATTAAGTTTCCAAATAAAAAACAGAGGAATAAAAGAATTGATGCCATTTTTTAAAAATCTTTCTAAATTTATTCAACTGATTAACAACGTATGAAAACAGAAGCATCCAGACTTATTGAGTCTGTCTTGATAGAATTTTAGTGATGAAAATGAAAAAAAAAAAAAAGGAAAAAGGTTAAAAAAAATAAAATTCCCTAAAATATGTAGTAGCTTTTCAAAATAAAAGTGTCAAAAAATAAAACTCCATTATGAAATAATTAAATAAAATTGGAAGTAAATTTATATTAAAAATGAGATCAGAAAAATAAAAATATATTGTAAAACATGGATTAACTGTCTTCGCCATCTACACGGCCGAAAAAACGGCCTTAATTGATATCAAAGTCTGACAGGGTAATTTTGTGGCTTAAAAACCTTTGACTATTTGTGTATAGGAACTACTTTTCCTCCATTCTGTTTCTCATATTGGTGACGGGAAGGACACTGTAGTATCTGAGGTACAGATGGTGAACCTTTCACTTCATTTCAAAAAACCTGAAGTAAAAAACAAGCCAACCTCATTCAGTAACAAGTTGCTGCCACATAATTTGCTGAAAAATGTCTTACAGATTTCTGTTTTGTCAAACTTCCATGCTGCATATCAGTAAATCAACACTTCTAAACTTTGACTAGGCCACTCCATAACCTTCACCCCCATTCTAGATGAAGATCAACTGTCCAAAATAGGATAAATTCATGTTTTTAAAAATGCTAACTGTTGCCGTGACGAATGAATGACTAGGTGCTGCTTCCTTACGTCTCAGTCAAGCCATAAGCCAGGTCCAACATGTCCATCTCCTCGTCTGTGACTGGCCCCAGCTTCTTGTAGACATCCTCGTCGAAGATCAGATGACACGTGGAGCACGCCAGGGTTCCCTCACATGCTCCTGCAACACACACAAGCTCATTTAGGCCTCCAAAGTCTCAAACTGAGAGTCCTGCTCAGGAGGGTTTTCTTACCAAAGCCATCAAAGTCCAGGTCTTCGTTGATGACGACGTCTAGCAGAGAGTCTCCAGGCGACGCCTTTACTGTGATCTTCTCGCCGTCTCGGTTGATGAAGTTGACGGTCACTTTGTTGTCTGACCTGAGGCAATAACTGAATTAGAATCACATTTTAAAGCTTTGCTATCTACTTTATTGAGCCACACTTGGTGTTTTAGTCTTATTGAACTTCAGTGGGAGGCTGAAATAATCTATTTGGCATCTATTATTGAATTTTCTGCGATACATCACTCCAAGAGTCACCTTGCCATTTAAGGCAGTGAGAGGGAAGCTGGTTACACCCATTAAAATAAGGAGCAGCGCTGATGGTATCAATACAGAAAAGGCAAATGTGATTTCCTCTTTGTGTGGTTTCCTCTTGCTGCCGCTCATGTAAAAGGATTCATTTACTAATTCTTACAGCTTTATATTTGCTCATATTTCTGTTGTAAAATAACCAAAAAATGCACTTCCTTCTACCACCAGCAGGGGGCTGTAATCATACAAAGGTTTTCCTTGAGCTCTGAGCGCCGGTTTGAGGTCAATAAGGAGAACGGGGCTGAAATCCATCAAATCAATGCAAGCCGAATCACAGTCGGACTAGAAAGAAGTCCCAATTAGTATAACTGCATTAAAATAAGTCATCAGGATCACCTTAAAGTCTCAGAGAGCCATGAGTGGATTGCCCTGTGAGTGACCAGAGCCTCAGAAAGTCCCGGTAACGTACATGTCTTTCCAATAGCAAAACAAAAACGTTTAAGATCATTAATCAAACCAGAAACCACCATGTTTAACATCAAAATGAACGTACTGGGTCTGGAGTCTAAAGGCTAAACTGGGCAAACTTCCAAACTCTAGAAGGTTGGACTAATAGTTATGTTTTATAACGTCCCAGATCCTGGCTGGACAGAAATACAGCTGAATTCTGTTAGCGGAGCCAAAAGAAGAGGGGTTCCTCTGCAGCCAGATAAGGAACGTTTCCGAAACGGCAGGACTAAACAAATCACCGCAGTTATATTCTAGATGCATTAGTCCCACAAATCCACCAAATGCAAACCTCGACATTCGATTAGTTCTTAAAAATGAATGATTCTTAGGAAAACAGTGAATCCAAACTCTGGATGTTAGGATGATGATCACGACTGAAGCTAAATACTTTAAAGGTAATTTTTATCCTTGAGGTGTTTATGATAAAACCCTGGAGACGATTTACTCCTCCATCCTGTTACCGGAGAAGAACACCTTATCCCTGCTGAGTGATCCCATTTGTTAATGACTGATGTCCTCAGAGGACCAGCTGTCTCTTTTCATGCAAACATTACACTCACTGACTTGCAGGAAGCCTCAGAACCAGGGAGAACCCACAATAATCCACTATAAAAAAAACTGGAGGTATTAACCTGCTTTGTCCTGCACTGCGTGACCTTATAAACCAAACACGTGTTCAACTTTGGACAGCCACATGGGTTCCTCGTCATGTTATTCACAACTCGCTCGCATTTGGATCTGACGTGGGTGTCAGAAGGTGAAACCTTCAACCTTCTCTTACACAGACTAAATGTTTGTCATGGAGTAGTTGAGCCGTGGACACAGCCTTGCACCTGATAGAGGCCTTGATCAACTCAGGTTATTTCACTCCTTTCAACAAGTCTGATTGGTTCCTCAATGGCTGCAGATTAAAAACATTTACACATCTAGGCGTATTTTTAAAGATTTGATTATCCTTAAAGTACTTCATGTAGATTGGAATAGATAATTAACTGCTTAGTTATTTAGTTAGTCAGAATGATGGGATTAAGAGATTTAAAAAAAGATTGATAATGATGGGATTATGAGATAAAATAAAAGAATGATGGTAGAATCATGCTGTGGGAGTGCTTTTCAAAATCAACTTCGAAAACATTTTTTCAGACATGTTGAAAGGTCAAAATCTAGGTTTCAATGGGGTTTAAAGCAGCTTCTAAGAATTCAAACCAGGTGTGAACAATGGCAACTTTAAAAAGGAGGTGATTCTAGCCAACTTCCCCGCTGCACTTTAAGAAGGGTGGTTGGAGATTTTCCTGGTAAAAGGTCTTATTTGGACTCCTTGAAGACATAAAGAAGATAAATCTGCTACGGGAACAAATCAAAGCCTGGAGGGTCAAGTGGTGTCAACCAGACTGGTGATTCTTCATGACCGTAAGTTGCAAGCCACGCAGCCTGGATCAACCAAAACACAACCTGCCATGGTGGGTAGCGGACGGAACAGAGAAAAGTCTAAGTGTGACAGCAATGATTTGTTTTCCAAAAGTGAAAAGAAAAAGATAAATTCACCCAGAGAAACACCTCATGTTTGACAGGACAGGACCTGTGACTCAGATGTCAACGCAATGGCTCTCAAACTAGGAGCTCATGGGTTCAAATCCCAAACAAGTCCCACACAGGTAAGTCTTGTCTTTTTCCATCAAATGTAGAAGGGAACAAGAAAAGCATAAATCCGCCCAGAAAAAAAAGGCAAACTGGAACAAATGTAGAAGAGACATCAAAAAGATAAGAAAAGTCAAAACATACATCAGAAAACAATGTCTTAAACACCAATAACAGTAGTAGTTAACAAAACTTGAAAATGCAACATATAATAGATGGCTATATAGTGGCCTTGTAATGCAGGTAATGTTGTGTAGTGTAAATGTTACTTTGTTTAAGTTTAGTAAGAAAACTACTCAAGACAACTTTATTTTTACTGTCTTTAAAAGTTTTATTCAGACCTTGTTTCCTGATGTATAACCCCTTCCGATTATTGTCGTGGAAACAGGGAGGGGACACGGCCCCCTCCCCGACCCACCGCAGTGGGTAATTCCAGGCTACGTCAACCACAGATGGAATTGAACTCAGACTCTGCACCACTGGCGCCTTACGGTCGCAGACAATCCCACTCTGCTGTGACACCTGTCACACTTTGGACGTTTCTCCGGGCGCATTTATCTTTTTGTTTCAACTTCTACATTTGTTGGAAAAATAGTTTCCTCTGTGGGATTTGAACCAACAAGCTCCCAGCTTGAAAGCCGACGCTTTAACAATCACACCACAGGCCCTGTCACTCTATGGTCCTCTTCTCGTAGCGCATTTATCTTTATGATTTCAATATTCACTTTGAAACCCAATAAAATCTTGAAGTTGCATGTAT